GCACGAGAGATATCGAATTTGGTGTATCCATCAATCATGCAAGGGAGATATCAAATTCAGTGTATCCATCAATAATTGGGAAAAAAGTTTGAAATTTGGGAAAACGTAACAAACCTAATTTTCTTCGTAGCTTATCACTCAATCCAGTAAAACAAGAAAGTTCAACTCACTAATATGATGATCAAGTTCATGATTGGTTTAGTTTAAATCCATGAGAGAGTGAAGTAACACAACAATTTTTCTGGATAGAATGAAATATTTCGACCAATAATTTAACTTTGATCTACTAATCTAAAACATCTCAACATGAAGGGAATGACGGACCTAAGAAATAGAGGCTTGAAGACGGAAGAAGAAATGGAGAATAGTGATTGCTCCGTTTGGATTGCAGCAGTTACGGGTAGAAACACGAAAGAGTAACCCTATGTAAATCTTGGACTTAATCAAACGGCGATTCATAATCAATCAATCTACCCAAAAAATTAGGGGAATCGAGACATAGGTATGGAATTCGAGAGCCCAGAATCTGAATCCACAAAGTTATGATTTAAATAAGATTGTATATGAAGTTTGGAAACAAACCTGGTTATCGAATTGACTTAGAAGAATAAGGGGATTGTGACGTTTTAGATTTCGAAATTGACATGAAGAATCCGTGAAGAATACGCGAAGAAACAGCGGATTTCCTTTCCTTCGGCGAAGATCTACCACAAGAATCAGCGAATTTTTGGCGAAGAAGTTTTGGCTGATGAAGAAATCTGCGATAGGGCATACAGAGGAGGAGAATCGGCAATTGGGAAGGGTTCTGCTATTTTGTAGTAGAAGTGGACAACTGTAAACTTAAGCTTAATTAAATAAGAATATACTTAATTGCCACATGTCAAATTTCTACGCATCAAACTCTCAGATTTTATACTCCGTATTAAAGTATATATGTGTGTGTATTACTTTATTCTGAGAGGGGCTACAGATTTAGATGAATTAGGATGTTATAATTTGGTATCGGAGCTAGGTTGGTTTCAAAATCGGTTTTTTGGACCATTTGACTAAATTGTTTTTGAAATAATGCGTCTGTATCCTCCACTTCATCACAGTTCCAAGAAATAATAAGTTATTGTTTTACATGATTATCTAAGTTTCTTTGATGTTAGAGATTGCTAATAAAATAAAATAAAATATGGATTGTGAAATATTTTACAAATGAAAGTTAGTTATACAAAAGTTTATAATTGTTGAAAATCGACATATTTAAATTCTTGAAACGAATTAAATACTTTGAGAAAAAGGTATTAAGGTATTTGTTTGTTGACCAAATGTCATTATAAAATTTTTACAAAAAGAAATTGAATATTTCATTAAAAATTGTACTCCCTTCGTCTAGAAATATTCTTCCTATTTGCCTTTTCTTGGTCAAAGTTTGTAAACTTTGACTATGATATGTGGAAAAAATATATTGTATTACAATATAACTTTAATATGAATATATTCATTTTGAAATATAGTTTTCAAATATCAAATTTTTAATAAAATATATCCATGTATAAATAAAGATATTAGTGGTCAAAGTACAATCTTGGAGACCGTAAAAAGTCAAATGGGAAGAACATTTTCGGACGGATGGAGTATCAATTACCTTGATAAAATAATTTTTTTTTCTCCAAGATTATGAGTTTGTCTACCAAAATAAAGATTCTGTTAAAAGAATATTGTTTCGATTCTGAAATGTTTAAAAACAATAATAGAAATAATTTTGTGAATGTTTTTGAGACAATTGTGGGATGAAACTCGGAAAATATCTTACAAATATTTTTATATGACTTTGATCTTTTGAATTTTTTTTTACATAAGTTGTTAATTTGAGCCACTTGGTAGATATATACAAATAAATATTATTATTAATCTTAAAAAAATAATCTAAAAAAATGGTAACTTATTCAATTATACACCCAATCTCACAAAAAAAGATAATTGGAAATGATTAAAAAAGGTAAGTCCCAATTTCCTTTTGAATACGAACAATTATATCTATGATTTTTTTAAAATTACTTTTTAAAAACGTGATATTATTAATTTAAAAAATAATAATTATTAATCTAAAAAATGCTTTAAATGCTATAATAAATATTCTTCCTTTTTTTATCACACGGTAATAATCAGTTTTAACACGTAATCATTTTAAAAAAGGAACAAATAATATGACACCGTTTATAATTGGTAATTAATTACTAATCTGAAAGATAATTATTATTCTTAATCTAAAAAATTAATCTTAAACAATGGTTTAAAAGCTATAATAAAAGAACAGTTTTATCACACAGTATAAACGAAGAATTTTATCACACGGTATTAACAGTTTTAAAAGCGATAATAAACGAATAGTTATATTTATAGTAATTAACGTATTAAAAATTAAAATCTAACATACTCCCTCCGTCCATGTATGATCTTTTCATTACGCGTTACGAGGCTTGATCGACTTTATTTTCAATTCAATTTAATTGATTATAGGAGTAAAATTTTAAAATAAAATTTATATAATAATAAACTACATAAAAAGTTCTATAAAACTAGAGTTGACAAGACTATATTATTTTATGAAATGACTAGTAAAATTGAGCAAACAAAGTGAGTAAAGTTTGACCCTGTGAATAGTGTCTGGGAAGACCTATGGTGGACAGAGGGAGTACATTATTAACGTAAGTTTTAAATAAAGGTAATTTCCTTTTTATAAAATATAAAAAGGAATTTGGTGATGTTGTTTATATGGAGTGTGACTTAATTATAAATTTCTTTACTTTTTTATAAAAAGGTGAATGTTTTCCTGCCCATACATGAGACTCATATATGGAAAATGTTGACAATACAAATGATAGTTTAATTATTTTGCCTCAATATTTTTCTTCCATTTTAAGTATGTTTTCATTTTTATTTAAATGTTACGCCATTTAAGTATTTAAATTAAATTAAATAAATTAAATAGTAGTGAACCCTGCACTGGGAAATTATAGCATAAAAATAAAATACAGTACCATTTGAATAAGAAAATAAAATTAAAAACTACAAATTAATAAAGTATGGGCGGGATTAGAATGATTTATTTCAAAAAAACTACATACAAATTAATTAGTTATTTCAAAAAATATTATAATTTACAAGCACGAACGTGTAAAAATGGTAAGTTTTCTAAAATAAATTAGAAAATAAATATGGTACGGTAAGTAAATGGTAACATTTAAATACAAAAATAAAATAAAAAACTACAAATTAATATCAATACTATAATTTACAAGCATGGAAATGTTTTTAAAATGATAAGTGTTCTAATTAGAAAATTAGAAAATAAATATTGTATGGTACGGTAAACAAATGACACCATTTAAAAATGAAAACAAAAAATGGTAAGTATTCTAAAATAAATTAGGTAAGTGTTCTAAAATAAAAGAGAAAGTAAAATACATCTAAAAATGATAAGTGTTCTAAAATAAATTAGAAAATAAATGTGGTTCAGTAAGTAATTAGTACCATTTACTTACGAAAATAAAATAAAAAAATAAAAAAATTAATATTAATATGATACGAAAGTATCGGGTAGGGGTGACTTCGAGTGTCATCAAACTCCAGAAAAGGGGGAGGCGTAGAGGAGAAGATCGCACAAGGGCGCAGGAGGCAAAGGAGATAGATTAGGGTTTGTATTATTTGATAGATGATTTCTTTCGTAGGGTTTGCACCCTATTTATAACAAAACCCATACACTAAAACTATATTATCTAACTTGACGGTTCAAAGAAAAGCGACGAGGTAAAGAACCGTAAAGAATTCCTCGAAGGAGCTTATATTTTGCTCACCTAATAAAATCTACATTACATAAAATAATATGAATACTAATAAAATAACAGTCATGTCTCATGCAATGTAATCATCGTGCCAAGCGGGAGGACGTCGGGTACGTGCACCCCGTCGTACCGTCACCTCCCTCCCTTCATTAACTGTCGCGTCTTCCGTAGTCTCTCCGAAGTCCCCGTCCTCTGTACCTTCCTCGTCCACCTGGTCGCTACTCGTATCATCCCTCCCCGGTTCTAATTGCACCTTGTCCTCAAGGTGAAAATCGGGGTACTTGCGACCTAGGGTCTCCACTGGCTCCCAAGAAGCATCAGCTAAGCCTCCATCAGCCCATTCAACCAAGGCCTGGCGCACCGGCAGGCCATCCATTAAAGTGGTGCGATAATCATGTACTCGTACTGGGCGCGAGGGAGCTCTGCCGTCGACCAACCGCGGGCAAGGGAAGTGGGTTGGCCGAAGTTGGGTCCCCATGGAATGGCCGAAGCAAGGACACATGAAATACTGGGTGTATCCGAGACCCGGCAGGCAGCTCAAGGCGGTAGGCCACGTTGCCCACACGCTGTAATACCCGGAAAGGCCCATAGAAACGCCGGGCCAACTTCTGATTCGAACGCCAAGCGACATAATGTTGGCGGTAAGGCTGTAATTTGAGAAGCACCCAGTCGCCCACCTCGAAGTGCACATCGCGTCTGTGAAGATTAGCTGCTGCCCGCATCTGGTTCTAGGCCTCAAGAAGGTGTTCCCGTAGACGCCATAACAATGTTGTCCGTTCGGTCAATAGGGAATCCACCGCCGGAATCTCACACTCCCCGAACGAGTAGGGCAGGATAGACGGAGGCTCCCGTCCGTATAATGCTTGGAAGGGGGTCATGTGCAATCCAGAGTGAAAGCTGGTATTTAGTGTCGAGGCCCCAATTTTTTGCCAAAGTAAGCGACGGGCTGATTCTGTTGGAGTAACACTGCCCCAATCCCCATAGCACAAGCATCGGTTTCAATGACGAAAAGTTGGTCGAAATCGGGTAGCCGTAGTACAGGGGTCGTTATCATTGCATGTTTTAAGGGTTGAAAAGCTGTCGTAGCCTCCGGAGACCAACGGAGAGAATCCCTTTTGAGTAGATCAGTGAGAGGGGCTGCCAAGTGGGAGTAGTTGCGAACGAACCGTCGATAATACCCGGTAAGGCCCAAAAACCTGCGGAGCTGCCGCGCGGTCGTGGGTGTAGGCCACTCCACCATGGCCGAGATCTTGGCCTTATCGGCATGTAGTTCACCCGCGATGATAATATGGCCGAGGTACTCGATGTCGCACTGGCAGAACGAACATTTGGATCGTTTCACATAAAATACCCGTGCCTGTAGTGCCGCGAGAATGGTACGGAGATGTTCGCGATGAAACTCTAGGGACGAACTATATATGAGAATGTCATCAAAGAAAACCAAGACAAATTTCCGTAGGTATGGCGCAAAGAGATGGTTCATACATGCCTGAAATGTAGAGGGCGCATTGGTGAGGCCGAAAGGCATGACGAGAAACTCGTAGTGGCCCTCAAGAGTTCGGAATGCCGTCTTGTAAATATCCTTATCCGCCATACGTATCTGGTGGTACCCAGAGCATAGATCCAATTTGGTGAAGTACCGGGCATGTGTCAACTCATCAAATAATTCATCCGCCATCGGAATAGGGAAATGGTCCAGCACGGTAATGGCATTCAAAACGCGGTAGTCCACGCAAAAACGAAACGAATCGTCCTTTTTCTTCACTAAAAGGACCGGGAAAGAGAATGGGCTGCGGCTTGTCCGGATGAATCCATTGGCTAACATCTCACGTACCAAACGCTCAATTTCCCCTTTTTGATAGTGTGGATACCTATACGGCCGAACATTGATAGGAAAACTCCTCGGCTGTAGAAAAATACGGTGGTCATGGGTGCGGTGGGGCGGCAGTCCGGAGGGGCTGTCAAAGAGGGATTTGTAAGCCTCCAAAACATCGACCAGTGCCGCGGGAATGCGGGGCTCGACTGGGGGTTCCAACGCTGGCGCGGATCCCTCATGTGACACTGGCAGTAACTCATAGAAAGCGACCACCTCCTGTGATGGCCACAAGGCTTTAAACATGGAGAGAGAAATCGGCCGGGGCATGGTGTCGCCCTGTAGCTACACTTGTTTGTCGTCCCAAGTGAAAGCCAAGGTGAGATTAGCATAATCCTGCGTGACTTTCCCTAGCTGTTGTAACCATTGGATGCCCAAAACCAAATCTTGTCCGTGAATGTGCAAAACAAACAAATCAACCGAGAATAGATGTGATTGCAAAAGGAGTGGTACCCCCGGACATTGAGACATGCACGGTAAGGCATCCCCGTTCCCCACATAAACCCGAAACGAATTGACGGCGATAAGTGGGAGTTGCAATCGCGCCACCACCTCGGGGTGAATGAAGTTGTGGGTACTACCCCCGTCGATGAGGACGCGAAGGTCATGAGTCCCCACACGGCCAGTCATTCGCAACGCTCGCGGTGGTTGTAGTCCTGAGAAGTTATTGAGACTGGATATGTCGGCGGTGACCACTAATTCATCGGTAGGCTCGGAGGTGGGCGACTCGTCCTCATCATCGTCGCCACAGATAAGTAGGAAACGCCCGTATTTGTAACCGTGTGACTACCGTTGATCACAATTATAACATAAACCCTTGGCATCCTTAGCTTCTTTTTCGGGTGGGGTCAGGCGTCGGATGTGGCTGGGCAGCGGGTTGGGCTGGGGTTTCGGCGGAGTGGGCAAGAGCAGGGTCGTAGGAGCCGCGCGCAAACCCTGAGGCAGGACCTTGGGAAAACCACCACTAGACTGCGAGTACGGCCGTTGTTGCACCGCTTGGACCAAGGCGGCATGTTTCGCCTCGAGCTCCCGGGCCAATACGAAGGAATCGGCCAAGGTTTGTGGTTTCTGCAAGGCAATTTCCTGCTGGAGGAGATGATAAGAGTTCTTCATTCGCACCTGTGACGTGTTGCAACACCCGCTCGAACTCCTCCTGGTACTCCATCACTGTACCCCGTTGCCGTAGCTTTGCAAGTTTGCCAAAGTAATCCACGTATTGGTTGGGATCAAAATGAAGTTTAAATTTAGTAACAAAATCATCCCACCCGTCAATCATCTTGTTCTCCATGCGCCAACTAAACCAATCGGCCGCCGGCCCTTCCAACATAAGCGTTACACAGCGAAGCCGCTCATCCGGAGGGGTATCGTAGGGCTATTTGTTTACCAATTATTTATTAGTATAACTAAATTTTTTACATTTATTTATTGAACTGTATTGATTATTTCGCTCATCACGGTTCACTCCAATATGCCATTGGCCACCATTTTACGAGGTCTACCCAAAAATCTAATTTTTAACTAAAATGGCCAACTGTACAAATATTTCATATTTTGGAGTCAATAAATAATCTATTTATTTTAATAAAATAACGGCTAATTACCAAGCCGGTTTTTAGGGCGTTACACTTTATGTAAGTATTTTTTGGCGAATCATTTTGATGAAAATAAATGTAAAATATATATTTTGAACTCATCAAATTTTGGTGATTGCTGAAAATATGTTGATTATGCAGTGTTATTTTAGATAAAAATTTCTTTAAAACTTTACTCTAAAATAATTTCAAATCAGCAGAAATAATATTTTATGTGGTATCATAAATACTAAAATAAATTATATTTCATTTATTGTGGAAATTCAAAGAATAATTTTCAGTGTGTCTAAAGACACAAATATTTAAGTATGTTACGTTGTTAAGCATTCAAAAGGAATAATTTAAAAAAAAATTGTGAAAAAGACATGGATTTGAACAAATAATTCCAAAAAACGTGTTTTACAAACTCTTTGATGCTAATGCAACAACATAATTTAATGGCAAAGCTATTTTCTCTTCTAAAGATAAAAAAAATTGTACGAAAAGTTTTTAATGTTGGAAGATGGAAATCTTCACTTAAAATGCATAAAGTGAATTGAAAATTGTTGATTAAATGTCATCTTACTAAGGTAAACAATTGTTACTACAAAATTGATCCAAATATTCTAGTTTGATGTGAACAAATATTGTTGTGGATATACAATTGTAACATATTTGATGTCAACAACTTGCTTGAATGATGTGAAATCTACTTGTTGATGTTATATGAATCAGTGCAACCTTATTAAAGTTTGCACTTGGAAACTTTGAATTATGAATTCTTTTGCTAAATCTAAATTTTGAGTTGTGACATTTTAAAAAATGTAATTTGCATAAATTGACAAGTGATTAAAGACGTGAACTTTTGTAAAAGGATTAATTGGAATAAATCATTATCTTGAATAGTATTGATTAAATATGAGAGTATTTTTAATTATATGTTATTTAATCCGTTTTGACTCTATCAAAGTCAACACTTGAAAATATGATGTGAGAAAAATGTTTTGATTTCATCATAATTCACGTTTTGACTGTCTGATTTTAAAATTGCGATATGTTTTTAATTCGGAATAGTTTGGGCAAAATAGTGTGTATTGTTTGGCTAAAATCCTAAACTTTAATCCCCAAATCCCTCCCAATCACGTAGCCACCCTATGAAATCTCAAAGACTTGTAATTGGCAGAAAGATCCCCTATCCTGGACACCCCTTCAACAACTTTGCTAAAGTGTGCACAACATTGGAGAGCTGAGGCCGAGTAACATGTTGAACATGAGTTCAAACCCTTTTTTATTTTCTAGAATATTTTTTGTTTTGATAAATGACAAACAGAATGATTAAATTCAAAGATGATCAAAAATTTATTTTTCGTATCAAGAAATTGCAAAGAGGCGTATCCAGATATTTACGGTGATAAAAATCAACGCTCTCCCCTACGCAAATTTTTGAAGTGAAGTGAAGACTCCGAAGACTTTTATTTCTATTGAGTCTAGGAATTCTTGTAAGGATGACAATGACTTTTGCATAAACAAATTAATTTTGAGGGATAAAAATTATTATTTTTATGAGTCAGTTGAAAGAATCATTTTTTCTCTATCTAAAAATATTTTACTGAGTCAGTTTCAAAATAGTGTGTCAAAATTTCATAAAATATTTTTAAGGTTACACAAAAATTTTTTGTGAGAAAAATACAGTTTAAATATTTTTCGTGTACATCGTTTGACACATAAAATAATTTTTGGACTCACTTTTTTCTCCCCTATTCAAATTCATTGAATAGGAGATATTTTTCTGAGGAGCGTGCTTTGATATTCTTGTTGTCGCAAACAAGGAACAAACTCCGATTTCACTTCTCATCGCAACTTGTCTTGGGCCCTTTGTGTTTGCGCATTATTTCCCTTTTAATCGATTAAATATTCTAAGATAATCAATTAGATTCAATTACTTCCTCAGCGTTTTTCTCAGGACTTGAAAGTAATCGATTTTTGCTCCTCTGTTAATCGATTAAGGCTGGCAGCGCCGACTAATCGATTTTTCTATCCTTTTTAATCGATTATTTTTCATCCCTCGAAATCGATTATACCTCCATATTAATCGATTATTTTTGTGTGGTGCCACCTCTCAGCATCTTCGAGTGGCTCCTACGGTTCTATTCTTCTTTGCCTATTTAATCCCTCATTCATCTTCATTTTAACACACAACTCTTGCACTCCAATATCTCCATTGAGTAATTTTCAATTCTTGCTTCCATCTTCCTCATCTAATATTATTTTGAGAGTTAGAAACATTTTCATTGAGTGCTAAAGATATTGTCATCCATAGAGCTTGAATCTTTCAAACACTACTTGCTCAATTGTGTGAGCTTTCATTTCTTGTGCTGTTGAACTCATCTTGTTTGAGTGTTGTTCTTAAGACTTGTGTGACTCAAGTCTTGGTGTTGTAAGAAAGTAAGGCTTGTGTGATTCAAGTTCTCAAGTTATACCGGTTTTTCAAGCACCCGTTGAAGCTTGAAGATTAGTAGGACTTTCGAGAGAGTCTCTCGGAGGACTGGACTAGCCACGAGTTGGTGAACCAGTATAAATCTCGGTGTTCTTCTTTCCCTTACTCTATTAATTTACTCCTGTGATTTTTTATTTCACACACGCGAAAAACGCACATTCTTGAAAACAACTCTATTCACCCCCCCTCTAGAGTTGCACATTTGTCTAACAATTGGTATCAGAGAAGGAAGTTCTTCGAATACGTTATTTTTTTCAGGAACTAAAAGATCAAATGGCATCAAGGATGTTCAACGCATGAGTAATTGAGGGACAATCAACCACAAGGCCACCTTTGTTTGATGGAACAAACTACTCGTACTGGAAGGAGAGGATGATAATCTTTTTCCAATCCAACGACTACAAGCTGTGGTTGATTGTGAAGAATGGCTGCGGAGTCCCGATGAAGAAAGTCGGTGAGGTCAACGTCCCAAAAACCAAAGAGGAGTGAGGTCAACGTCCCAAAAACCAAAGAGGAGTTCACCAACGAAGATTGCAAAAAGATGGAGCTCAACGCAAAGGCAATAAACATGATTTATTGCGGGGTTAATGCAGATAACTGTCGCAAAATCTCGAGATGTGAAATCGCAAAACAAATGTGGGAAAAATTGGAGGTCACCTACGAAGGAACCGCGCAGGTTCGGGAGGCCAAAATCGACCACTTCACTCACGAGTATGAACTTTTCTCTATGAAAGAAAACGAGAAGATTGAGGAAATGTTTGAGAGGTTCTCTAACATCATCAACCCTCTCAATCTTCTCGGGAAGACATACACCGACCGTGAGCTCGTGAGAAAGGTGCTACGAAGCTTATCCCCAAAATGGTGTTCAAAGGTGGACACAATTGAAGAAGGTTGTGACTTCCAAACAATGACATATGATGCTCTTCGAGGTAATATCATTACCTACAAAACCACCCAACTCTCAAAGGTGGTTGAAGAGAGGAGCAAGAGGTCTATTGCTCTACCCGCAACTACATCAACCCACAACAATGTTGATGATGAAGATGATGACAACGACGACACCGACCTCGGAGTATTTGTCCGAAAATTCAAGAAGATGATGCTCAAGAAGGGAGCCAAGAAGAACACTTCACCCAAGTGCTATGGGTGTGGTGAAATTGGACACATCAAACCAATGTGTCCGAAGCTCAAGAACGAGAAGGACAAGAGGGCACCGAAGAAGCAACATGCCTACATTTCTTGGGAAAACGATGACTCCAGGAGTGAAGACTCGGAAACGGAGGAAGTGCCCAACTTGTGTCTCATGGCCATTGAGGATGGTGAAACATCAAAAGAGGTAAGTGATCAAGAACCTTCTCCCAATGATCCTTTAACTCTTAATGATGTTGTTTGCATTGTAGAAGAACCTGTAGGAATGTTCAAAAAGGCTTCCAAAGAAAATAATGAAGTTAAACAAAAAATCCTGAGTTTTGAGAATGATGTCAAAGAACTCAAAAATATAAATGATAAACTTAAACAAGAAATTATCTCTTTTGGAAAAAGGCCACAAGAACCTTCATCTACTTCTTCTTCTACATGCTCTAGTTGTACATCACTAAAAGCTAAGGTTGCTAATTTAGAAAGCGAATTGGGAAAGTATAATAATGCTTCAAACACCTTAGATAAAATACTTAAGCAAAAACATAGTAATGGTGAAGGACTTGGATATAAGAAAAACCCACCTAGAAAAACAACATTTGTTAAAGCTATGGGGAATAAAAATGCTAGGACAAATAATCAAACTAGAAGAGCACCTCCTAGCAAACCTAGAACTCATTACACTCAACCATATAGGATGAATAATCCAAATGTTATTTGCCATTATTGTAATAAGATAGGTCACATTGCACCCGTGTGCTTCACCAAACTTAGGCATTTCCAACAAACACACACACATCGCACATATGCTAACCAAAAAGGACCCAACAATACATGGGTACCTAAACTGTCTCCTTGACATCTTTTTGTAGGTCTGCTTGAAGGCTTCGAGTACCTCTTGGTATCTCGATAGCGGATGCTCCAAGCACATGACCAGAGACGCATCCAAATTTAGGAGTTTAGAATATTTCAAAGGTGGCAATGTCGTTTTTGGTGACAACAACAAAGGAAGGATCATTGGAAGTGGCACCGTCGGGAGAGACAATGCTACAACCGTTGAGAACGTTCTTCTTGTTAAGGGCCTCAAGCACAACCTTCTTAGCATTAGCCAATTGTGCGATACAGGTAACCGTGTCATCTTTGATTCTAGTAAATGCACTGTAGAACGCTTGTGTGACAATAAGACTATTCTTTGTGGTAGTAGAGTAGACAACATTTACATGTTTGATCTTGAAAATTCCCCGTCTATCTTAGCTAAGTGCCTCATTACCAAAGAGGAAGAAACGTGGCTATGGCATCATCGGATAGCTCACGTTAATATGGACCACCTTAATAAGTTGGTTTCTAAAGACTTAGTAATTGGTGTTCCTAAACTTAAGTTTGAGAAGAATCTAATTTGTGATGCATGTCAAAAGGGGAAGCAAGTAAGGGCCTCGTTTAAGTCAAAGAATGTTGTTTCTACAACTAGGCCATTACAACTTTTGCACATGGACCTTTTTGGACCTTCAAGAACCATGAGTTTAGGAGGAAATTACTTTGGCTTTGTTATCGTTGATGACTATTCGAGGTTTACATGGACACTCTTTCTAGCTCATAAGTATGATGCACTTAATGCTTTTAAGAAATTCATTAAATTGGTTCAAAATGTAAAAGATTCTCACATTGCATCCATTAGAAGTGATCATGGGGGAGAATTTGATCAAGACGGTTTTGATGTCGTTTGTGACGAATTAGGCATTGAGCATAATTTCTCAGCCCCCTACACCACAACAAAATGGCGTGGTTGAACGGAAAAATAGGTCTCTTGAAGAGATGGCTAGAACTATGCTCAATGAGGCAAACCTTCCTAAATATTTTTGGGCAGATGCCGTGAGTACCGCGTGCTACGTGTTAAACCGAGCCGTCATTAGACCGATACTCAATAAATCGCCCTATGAACTTTACAAAGGAAGAAAGCCTAACCTTTCTTATTTTCATGTCTTTGGATGTAAAGTTTTTATTCATAATAATGGAAAAGATAACTTAGGAAAATCTGATGCTAAGTCGGATGAAGGAATTTTCTTAGGTTATTCTCTTCGTAGTAAGGCATATAGAGTGTTCAACAAGCGTACTAAGACTGTAGAGGAGTCTATTCATGTTATTTTCGATGAATTTGATGCTCGCTTAGCGAGAAAAGGTATTGTTGATAATGTTGCAGGTTCTTTTGACGATGAAGAAGAAATCATTAAGGAAAAAGAACCGGAAGAAGAGAAAACGCAGGAGCAAATGGAGCTTCCTAAAGAGTGGAGAACGTTGAAGAATCACCCGATTGACAATGTCATTGGTGACATAACGCAGGGAGTTTCTACTCGTAATTATCTTAGGAACACAATTAATCACATGGCCTTTGTTTCTCAAATTGAACCAACAACCGTTTTGGATGCTATTAATGATGAACATTGGTCTATGGCAATGCAAGAGGAGCTTAACCAATTTAAACACAATGATGTTTGGGAATTGGTGCCTAGACCTAATGATCATTCCGTTATTGGCACAAAATGGGTGTTTCGTAACAAACTNTCTTAGGAACACAATTAATCACATGGCCTTTGTTTCTCAAATTGAACCAACAACCGTTTTGGATGCTATTAATGATGAACATTGGTCTATGGCAATGCAAGAGGAGCTTAACCAATTTAAACACAATGATGTTTGGGAATTGGTGCCTAGACCTAATGATCATTCCGTTATTGGCACAAAATGGGTGTTTCGTAACAAACTTGATGAAAATGGAGTAATCACTAGAAACAAAGCTAGGCTTGTAGCTAAAGGCTACAATCAAGAAGAAAGCATTGATTATGGAGAAACTTATGCACTGGTTGCACGTTTAGAAGCTATTCGTTTATTACTTGCATTTGCATCTACGATGGATTTTAAACTTTATCAAATGGATGTTAAAAGTGCCTTCCTTAATGGTATCATTCAAGAGGAAGTGTATGTCGAACAACCTCCGGGTTTCGAAGACTATGAGTTTCCCGAACATGTCTTCAAACTCAAAAAGGCACTTTACGGTCTGAAACAAGCACCTCGTGCTTGGTATGAATGGTTAGGCAAATTTCTTTTGGACCATGAGTTCAAATGAGGTCAAGTCGACACTACTCTTTTCATCAAGAAAGATAACCAAGACATCCTTTTGGTTCAAGTTTACGTAGATGATATCATATTCGGTGCTACTAATGAAGCTTTGTGTAGGGATTTTTCCGATATGATGCAAAGCAAATTTGAAATGTCGATGATGGGAGAACTAAATTCTTCCTTGGGCTACAAATTAGACAATGCAAAGAAAGAACATTCGTGTGTCAAACGAAATATTGTAGGAAATTGCTCAAGAGATTCGATGTTACCGAATCCAAATCCATTGACACGCCGATGAGCACCTCTTGCTATCTCGACAAGGACGAAAAAGGTAAAGTGGTAGATATCAAACGCTACCGAGGTATGATCGGCTCTTTACTTTATCTTACCGCGAGTAGACCGGATTTCATGTACCCCGTTTGTATATGCGCTAGGTATCAATCATGTTCTAAAGAGTCGCACTTGGTTGCGATCATAAGGATTATGCGATATCTCGCGGGCACGTTGAACGTAGGTCTTTGGTATCCCAAAGGTTCAACATGTCATCTTGTTGGCTATTCCGACTCGGATTTTGCAGGTTGCAAACTCGATAGGAAAAGTACCAACGGTACTTTCCACTTATTCGGTCATTTGTTAATCTCGTGGTTTAGTAAGAAACAGGTTAGTGTTGCACTTTCCACCACCGAAGCAGAATATGTCGATGCGGGAAGTTGTTGTGCCCAAATTCTTTGGCTAAAACAGCAACTAGTGGATTTTGGCCTTAATTAGGCATCACTTCATACGAGATCATGTCCAAAAGGGAGATGTCACAATTGAGTTTGTTGAAACGAAACATCAATTGGCGGACATTTTCACGAAACCCCTTAGTAGGGAGAGTTTCTTCCACATTCGGAACGAACTTGGCATTTTGGATATCTCTATGAACTAATTCATTCTTTTTATTGACTTTACTAATATGAGCGTCGGAGGCGCGATGAAATCTTATTTGCAGGGCTTTTATTTCACGTATCTCTTCCCTTGGTATCAAACCTGAATTGGACTTGATGATTTTTTTCTGTGAAATAATTTTTAATCGATTCCTTCTCGTAGAGAAATCGATTAGACGCCTCTGTCCCTCTTAATCGATTAATGACCTTCTTGTTAATCGATTAAATCCTTCAGTGCAAACTCTTTTGATTCTGATTCATTTTTAATCGATTAATTTTTGTTATAAAATCGATTAGACCCGTCTATGCGTCCTAATCGATTAAAGCAATCAGTTTAATCGATTAATATTCGAAACCCTAGCTCTCTCTTCGCCAAATCCTCTTTTACAAATCACAGAAGTTCTAAACCCTAGCTCTCTCTTCTCCAATTTCATCACTAATTTCTTCCATTTTCACCAAATTTCACCAAATTTCATCAATTTCAAAGAGGAAAAATGCCAAGGTGCAAGAACCCTACGCGTCAAGAATCGGCGGCGGAAGAAGGGGAGCGTCCATGGCGTCGTGAAGGAAGCAAATACATCCACATTCAGATGGGCCTCGCCTTCAACACTGGAGCTTCCATAGAAAGGTTCCACAACACCTTTTGAAAGTCGGTTTACACCTTAAGAGGGGGGTGAATTAGGGTGTTTGCAAGTTTTTCGTAAAAACAAAAACTTATGCGCAAAGTAGTAGCGGAAAAAGAGCAAGAAAAGTATAAAAGATAAAAATACGACACAAGCGATTTTATACTAGTTCGGGAACTCCCTACTCCAGTATCTCGAGGCTCCTCCTCAAGGATTTAACCTCCACTAACTTGTTTGGCTTCACTAAGAAGACTCAAACGAGGTTTGGCAAACAACCCTTGCCAATAAGCAAATGAGATTTTACCACGGCTATCTCAACCGTTTACAACCGATGATTTTAAGGCTATCTTCAACCTTACAATGAGGATTTGGGCAACAAATTTACAACAAGACTATGCCACTCTCTAAGAAGAGAGAATATAATCTTAGTGTTAATCTCACTAGTAGGATAAACTTTATTTAGCTTACTCAAATTGTTGACAATGAGGTTGAATCGTTTGTTCATATCTTGAACGGATTCTCCGGCCTTCATCTTGAAGTTTTCATACTCGGTTGTTCCTAAAGCTATCTTGGTAGCTTTTGTGTCTTTATCTCCTTCATGGGTGGCTTCTAGGAGCTTCCATGATTCCTTTGCGGATTTGCAAGAGCTCACCCTAGCAAACTCATCTTGACCCAATGCACAAAACAACACATTTAATGCTTTGGCATTCAAAGAGAGTTTTTCTTGTTGTCGGTTGTGAGCTTGTCCATTGGCGTAGGCACTTGGTGTTCACCTACAGTTGTCATAGGAACAAACGGACCATGAGTAGTGACTATCCATAAATCATAGTCAATAGATTGAATGAAATTCTCCATTCGCATTTTCCAATAGCCATAGTTATCCCCATTGAAGAATGGTGGCTTGGTAATGCTTTGGGATTTCATTGAATCCATGTGTCGTAAAAAGAAATAATAGATGAGTGTGAAAGGATCAAACTTCCTGCTCTGATACCAATTGAAATTCGGTTTACACCCTAAGAGGGGGGGTGAATTAGGGTGTTTGCAAGTTTTTCGTAAAAACAAAAACTTATGCGCAAAGTAGTAGCGGAAAAAGAGCAAGAAAAGTATAAAAGATAAAAATACGACAAAAGCGATTTTATACTGGTTCGGGAACTCCCTACTCCAGTACCTCGAGGCTCCTCCTCAAGGATTTAACCTCCACTAACTTGTTTGGATTCACTAAGAAGACTCAAACGAGGTTTGGCAAACAACCGTTGCCAATAAGCAAATGAGATTTTACTACGGCTATCTCAACCGTTTACAACCGAAGATTTTAAGGCTATATTCAACCTTACAATGAGGATTTAAAGGCTATCCACACCTTTTACAAATCAATAAAAGATTGGTGTTGCTTCTCTACCAAAATAATACTCCCTCCGTCCCCCATAGATTTTCCCAATAGCCCTTTTTCTTTGTCCACAATAGATCTTCTCATTTCACTTTTTAACAATTAAAATAACACAACTACCCCCACTTACTTTATTTATTACACCTCACCCACCTCATTTAATACAATCCACCCATTTTCATTAAGGGTATTATGGTAAACTTTTACCTTTTTTCAACTCTTCTTAAAAACCACCAAAAGTCAAAATGAGAACATCTTAGGGGGACGGAGGGAGTAATAAATATGAATTGGGTAGGAGAAGAACAAAAGATTAAATCAACAACAACAAAAGCCTATAGGCAAGATATAAAATAATGAATCACAAATGCCCTTGTGTGTGAGTGTATAAATATAAAGAAAGCTTTATACTCAAAAGAGTAATACAAATAAGAACAAAGCTTTTAGGAACACTCAAGAATAGAGAAAGAGGCTTTAGATTTAATCGGGAAGTTGTTGTGAATAAAATAATACTTAGAGGGGGGTTATATATGAGTTTGGAATGTTAAATTTTGATTTTTTTAACGTTAAATGCCGTTAGGAAGTGATTAGGGGTGATTTGAATTTAAATTGGCAATTTGCTACAGTGCTGCTAACGGATACGGTACCCTTCACGGTAGGGTCAGTACTGTCCGGTACCTAGGTACTGTGACCACGGTACAGCCTACCGTTTGGGGGTACCGTATAAGCAAAAAAGTGGGTTCGCCTCTGGCGGTACCTGGTTAGGACGGGTTGGGCCAACCGTCTTTGCCTACCGCCCGGTACCCAGGTACCGTTACACGGTGTGGGGGTACCACTAACACATAGGTGAAACGTACAGCGGTACGCTCACTTGGCTACCGGCGGTACCCTGGTGCCGTGTACACGGTAGCCAGGTACCGTTAGACCTGTGCAATTTTTCCAAAACTCGTTTTTCGTGTTCCGTTTTCAAGATAACCCCAACTAAGAATTTTTGACATTTTAGAAATAATTTTTGAGTGAAAGGGCATAAGTAAATCATTAAACTATATCGTTACCTTTACACAAAAATTTCTAAGCTCGTAGAGTATATCTTGGTGATGCTAAACAAGCTAATAGAGGTTTGGCGTTTGGTTTAATCCTGCAAATGATGTTAGTAGCATTAGAAGACTTATTTGGCACATCAAAATGTTTACGGGGTACGACATTCAAGGCCAACACCTTTCTCACAAAGGAGATCATCCCACCGAAGGTTGTGGACAAGGACCTCTTCAAATCGGAGACCTATGCCCCGAGCAAGTCCCTTTTCTCTCAGCAAGGTTTGCTTCGTTTCATCCATTTGACATATGAATTCTTTTGTCCAAATCTTATATACGTCAATTTTACGCTAAGCTTCGTACCACTAAGGGAGACTCGCCATCTCTCATCTCCTATGCTGACGGCAAAACCGTTTTTATTGACGGTGCCGGTTTGAACACTCTCTTTGGCCTTCGTAGAGGTGAAATTACCGACAACTTAGATGAAACATTCCAAGATGAGGCAATTTGGAGACAACTCGGGTTAGATTATCGTGACCTCAAATTTAGAAATTCTAGTAGCCCGAGTGTCATTAACCTCACTTTGATTCAACATGTCCAACAATACATCTTTTCTTATGTTTTGTTGCCCCGTGATTCGAACCATGGCATTGTCAACAAGGACGATATTCAATTGTTTCACGTCCTGTTGAACAATGTCAAATTTGATTGGGTTCACTTCTTTCTCGTTGCACTTAGTGATGGTACTCGCTTTTCCCATCTTCGTTTTGCCATCCCTGTCATGCATATCCTTGCTCATTGCAAAGTGGACCTTACTCGGGACACTCGGGTGCCGGTGAAGAAGACTTGCTTCATCAAGGAAACCATGTTCACCCGGACTGTCTTCCGCGAAGAGAGAACCGGCGAGCAAAATATGGATTTGGTTATTGCCGACGAAGAGGAGAACGAGAACGAAGCTGAGTCGTCTCGGGCCTGAGAAAGTTGAACCATAGAGCGCATCACTCATCAACGCAGGACTCGTCCAAGAGAAGAAGCACCGAAACCTTCTTGGGTGAAGAGGATCTTTGACACTCTCACGTGCATTCGGGACGATGTTCGGCATCTCAACGAGAGGATGACTCGTTTCGAACAATCCAGCTCCTACCGTGGCCCGCGTCACAGCTTTAGCGGATGAGCTTGTCCGGCGCGTTCTCTCTGATCTTGTTGACATTATTTATGTTATGACTTTTTATGGTACATCATTAAATGCTATTGTTTTTACAACTCTTTTGGTGGATGATGATGTTTCTTTGGATGATGCTAGTTATTAATTGATCTATTATTGATGATGTTCATTATGTATTGATGATTGTTGACTAGGAAATATTGTTCCTTTTTTAGAACATATTGTCCCTTTGTGATTTTTTGTTAGAAGTTCTCTTTTAACAAAAACTCTTGCAATTTTTTTTCCTATCCTTCAATATCCCGACATCGATTAAGGGGGAAAGATATCAGTTGATAATGCCAAAAGGGGGAAGGAAGGATAGTTGAGAAAACTTGGTTTTAAAAAAAACATTTTTCCGCTTTTTACTCCGAATTTGTTTTACTGCACTTCTCTAACCATGCAGGGGGAATTAAATTAAGGGAAGTATTTCTTGAACTCTCACTTTGCTTTTTCTCAAGTATGTTTGTCATTATCAAAAAGGGGGAAATTGTTGGACATGAGTTCAAACCCCTTTATTATTTTCTGGAATATTTTTTGTTTTGATAAATGACAAACAAAATGATTAAATTCAAAGATGATCGAAAATTTATTTTTCGTATCAAGAAAAGCAAAGAAGCGTATCAAGATATTTACGGTGATAAAAATCAACGCTCTCTCCTACGCAGATTTTTGAAGTGAAGTGAAGACTCTAAAGACTTTTATTTCTATTGAGTATATGAATTCTTGTAAGGTTGACAATGACTTTTGCATAAACAAATTAATTTTGAGGGATAAAAATTATTATTTTTATGAGTCAGTTGAAAAATCATTTTTTCTCTATCTAAAAATATTTTACTGAGTCAGTTTCAAAATAGTGTGTCAAAATTTCATAAAATATTTTAAAGGTTACACAAATTTTTTTGTGAGAAAAATACACTTTAAATATTTTTCGTGTACATCGTTTGATACACAAAATAATTTTTGGACTCAATTTTTTCTCCCCTATTCAAATTCATTGAATAGGAGATATTTTTCTGAGGAGCGTGCTTTGATATTCCTGTTGTCGCAAACAAGGAACAAACTCCAATTTCACTTCTCATCGCAACTTGGCTTGGGCCCTTTGTGTTTGCGCATTATTTCCCTTTTAATCGATTAAATATTCTAAGATAATTGATCAGATTCAATTCCTTCCTCAGCGTTTTTCACAGGACTTGAAAGTAATCGTTTGTTGCTCTTCTGTTAATCGATTAAGGCTGGCAGTTCCGACTAATCGATTTTTCTATCCTTTTTAATCGATTATTTACATTCCTCGCAGAAAATTTTTCATCCCTCGAAATCAATTATACCTCCATATTAATCGATTATTTTTGTCTGGTGCCACCTCTCAGCATCTTCTAGTAGCTCCAACGGTTCTATTCTTCTTTGCCTATTTAATCCCTCATTCATATTCATTTTAACACACAACTCTTGCACTCCAATATCTCCATTGAGTAATTTTCAATTCTTGCTTCCATCTTCCTTATCAAATATTATTTCAAGAGTTAGAAACATTTTCATTGAGTGCTAAAGATATTGTCATCCATAGAGCTTTAATCTTTCAAACACTACTTGCTCAATTTTGTGAGTTTTCATTTCTTGTGTTGTTGAACTCATCTTGTTTAAGTGTTGTTCTTAAGACTTGTGTGACTCAAGTCTTTGTGTTGTAAGAAAGTGAGGCTTGTGTGATTCAAGGTCTTAAGTTGTACCGGTTTTTCAAGCACCTGTTGAAGCTTGAAGATTAGTAGGACTGGACTAACCACGAGGTGGTGAACCAGTATAAATCTCAGTGTTCTTCTTTCCCTCACTCTTTTAATTTATATCTTGCAATGTTTTATTTCACACACGCGAAAAACGCACATTCTTGAAAACAACTCTATTCACCCCGCTATAGAGTTGCACATTTGTGTAACATAACAAATAAATAAACCAGACGCCTTACCAGACATCGATAAGTTCCGGATCCACCAGGACTGGTGCTTGGGAACGAGCCAAGTGATGATTCGGATTCATCGGTGCGCCCAACGGCCTAACACCCAACACACCGGCCTCAGTGATACTGTCTAAAGCAGATTCCCGTTGGCAAAGGAAAATTTCAGGTACACTTCTAGCCATCTCAATGCCATTGAAAAATTTCAAAGTTCCCAAGTCCTTCATATGGAAGCAATTAGCCACATACACTTTGAATTTGGCTACCACATCTGCATTATCTCTAGCAATGGTGAGATCATCAACTTAAATAAAAACATGCATTACTCCCTTCTTCCCAATGAAAGAAAATAAGGAGTAACCTGAGATGTACTGAACAAACACGTAGCGTCTCAAAGCTCTAGAGAATTTTGCAAACCAACATCGTGGTGCTTGCTTAAATCTATAGAGCGACTTCTTGAGTTTGCAAACCACATCAGAAGAATTTGAAAAACCCAGTGGCAATCTCTAATAAACCTCATCCTGAATATCTCCATGAAAAAACACATTGTGGACATCCATCTGATGCAACTCCGATCCCTAAGCGGCTATAACAGCCAAAAGTGTCCGCAGAGTAGTTAACTTGACCACCAGGACAAACATTTTGCTGTAGTCAAGTCCTTATACCTAATGATTGCCAAGTATGACAAGCCTGGCCTTGCATCTCTCCACACCTTCATCTAATTTGCGCTTGATTTTATACACCTATTTGCAACCAAGCGATTTTTATGACAAGGAGGAGGAATAAGAGACCACGTGCCATTATATTCTAATGCATCAATTTCCTCTCGCATAGATTTCCTCCATTGTTCATCCTGGAACGCCTTTTTGAAACTCTTAGGCTCCACCTCAATATCAAGTGCTATGAGAAAATACTTGTGTTTGTCGGAGAACCTCTCGTTGGCAATGTATGACGAGAGAGGATACTTGCAATTTTCTCCAACAAATGTACTAGCAACATGTATGACATAGTCCGCCAGTCGCACATTTAGTCGTTTCTCAAATTGTCCACGCCCTAATTTCTCTTCAGCTTCCTATGACGAAGATGGTCGACTGCAATCCATGGAACGTCCATGGGGTCAACCGTCTGTAGCTCTACAGATTCCCCATCATTATGCCTCACCAACGCTCGACTGTACTCCAGGCCATGGTCGACCATCCTCCAAGTCACGGTCGACCGCCCGGCTACTGTCCTCTAGGTCACAGTCGACCGTCTGAAGTTCTTCTAGAGTGCCTTTGTTACCTTACTCACGGTTGATGGTTTTCAACAGCACGGCCCAATAACTCGACCGCCTATAGCTCCTCTAGATGCTCAGTCGACCGTTCCTCCTGAGATGGTCCAGCAGCTCTTCCGTTTGTACCTCTCCATCTTCATCATGATAATCAGTCGAACTTGTGCCACTTGTACTATTTTCATTCGAAGATTCATCTGCACAGGTCAAGAAAGGAAAGATGTCTTTACAAAATACTACATCCCGAGACACTTTGATTTCTAAAGTGTCTGGGTAGTATAAATGTCATCCCTTCTTTCCTTGTGGATAACCCAAGAATATCTACGGATAGCTTCTAGGTGCAAACTTGTATCCATTCGTCTTTAAATTGTGGGCGTAACATCTGCATCCAAAAACATGAATATGAGTCGCGGTCTTCCATAGAGCTTCTCATACGGTTTAACCCCCCTAGCAAAGGCAAGGGTGTTCGATTGATCAGATACGCAGCAGTTTGAACACAATATCCCTAAAATTCAATTAGAAGCACCGCCTGGAATCTCAAAGCCTTACCCACATTCAGTATATGTCGATGCTCGCGTTCTACTCTACCATTCTACTGATGTGTAGATACACAAGAAGTCTCGTGTACAATTCCTTATTCACAGAAATATTCATTCAAGCATTCGAATTTTGTAGCATTGTCACTGCGAACACACTTCAGTCTCCCCCAAAATTGACACTCTACCATGGCACAGAACTGCTTATGTACACTTTCTACAGTTCGCTTATAATCGTAAAACCATCCAAACAAGGAGTTTGATAAGGTCCCCACAAATCACAATGTACCATATCAAATTTTCTGAATGATTGATGAAAATTGATGGGAAAACTAGCTTGGGTTTGTTTAGCACACAAACACACATTACAATGACTATGACTACTTTTATTTGAACCAGCTAAAGAGAATAAGGACAAAACATGTGAAGAAGGATGTCCTAGACACTTGTTCCAAAGATCAGGGATGTTGTGTGATCTGAAGATTTCGCCTAGGATGAAAGGTAAGTTCTACCGGTTTGTAGTCAGACCTGCTATGTTATATGGGACATAATGTTGGGCGGTTAAGAAGACTCATTTGCGTCAACTGCATGCGGCAGAGATTCGGATGTTGCGATGGATGTGTGTGAAGACAAGGCTGGATAGGATTTCGAACGAAGTAATCTGACGTCAGGTAGCCATGGCGCCGGTGGAAGATAAGTTGCTGGAAGCGAGATTGAGATGGTTTGGTCATGTGAGACGACAGAATGTTGACGCCCCTGTACGGAGATGCGAGAGGATTACGATGATCGGGGGAAGTAGGGGAAGGGGTAGACCTAGGAAGAATTGGAAGGAGGTGATTAGGCAGGATTTAGGACTTCTCACGCTGACTGAGGATATGGCTTTAAATAGGAACCTTTGGAGAACTAGGATTAAAGTAGCTGAATAGGAGCCCGGTGCTGCAGAGGTTTTTGTAGTGTGTTGTGTTTGGTTGGAATCTTTTGATATTGCTTGCAGGACTTTCATTCCATTGTACTTGGTGTTTTATCTGTGTTCTACTGTGTTCCCTACCATATTTTTTGTGCAGGTTGAGCCAGGGGTCTCTTGAAAATAGCCTCCTTCTCCAAATAGTACAGTCCTCCTTCATGTTTACCCACACCAATCGTTGTCCTCAAACTTAGGTCCTGTAATACACACAAATCATTGGTGAACTTTTCCTCATAGTTCAAGTCCCCTTGTCAAATGTGACAAAGTATTCAAATGACAACTCAAAGTTGGAACAAATAACACATTCTACAATGTCATAGTCTTAGTTAAAATCTTTCCAA